TAATTTATTATGCCATAATATTGATTTGATGCACATAGAAAAAAATGTTTGCAAAAATTTTATCAGGACAATTCTCAATGTGAATAAAAGATCCAATGATGACTTAAAGAGTCGGCTTGACCTAGTTGATATGGGGATTCACCCAGACCTTCATCTGAAGTTGCTTCTTAATGACAAATATCGATTGCCTACTACTTATTTTGAGATTTCTAAAGCTAAAAAAGATGTGTTTTGCAAGGTTTTTAAAAAATATCAAAGTTTTGGATGGCTATGGGTCAAATATATCAAGATGTATAAATCTAAAGGAGCGAAAACTTTTTTCATTGAAGTCACATGATTATCACATTTTGATGCAAGACTTCTTCCAATTGCTTTACATTATCAATGTCAAAACAAGTCACTTCTGTGGTAATTGAATTGAGTAACATATTTAAATCTCTATGTCAAAAATGTATGAATGTGGAAGAGCTTGACAAACTTCAAGATCAAGTCGCAATTACTTTATGTCATTTAAAAAAGATCTTCCCTTGAAACTTTTTTACTATTATGATGCATTTGGTTATCCACCTTCCATATGAGGTAAAAGTTGGTGGGCTAGTTTATTATCGATGGATGTATCCTATTGAAAGGCATTATTTGTTAATAGATTGATTACATTTTTATTGATGATCAAGCCACTCAACTTAAAATAACATATGACTAATGTTTTATGCTATAGGTTTTTAGGGAGGTTAAAGTCTTATTGTCACAACAAACGCTATTTGAAAAGTTCTATTGCTGAAAGAAAGGAAACTGATATTTTTTTTATATTCGCTTTTATGATGTAGGTAAGCTACAATGCGAAAAAGTAGGTTGAAAAGAAAACATATCAGAGATATTAGTTCAGAACCGTCTGTGGCACCTGTAGATATTGGCTATGGACTGAATCCTTTGAAGGGAAATGAACGTACTATTGAATCTAACTCCATCATTTCTCACCCTTCAACTGATATTGGATTTGGCAATACAGGAGGTACAGGTTTAGATAGTACCCCATCAATTGATTATGCTTTAAATTTGAATGTAGGTATGATATACTCCAATTTTAGAGTTCAAGTATAATGATAAAAGTATTGTTATTTTACAATATATTTCTTATTTGTTGCAGTTGATAACAATGGTCATCGGAGGACCAGAAGTCGGATAACTTTGAAGGAATTGTTTGCACTAACTCCTAATGAGCGTATTGTAGTGTCTGTAAACTATAATAGGCAACTAATTGGTGAAGATGCTCAATTATTGGTTGGATTTCTAGACATGCTAGCCTGTAATGGAATGAAATTGCCTATTTATTATGAAACATGGCATAAAGTTTTAGAAGAAGTTAAGGCCGATGCATTAAAATTTATTGAGGTATTAGTATAATTAATTAGATATAAAAAAATTTTACTTTACAAATTGTTTACTTATTCTAACTTTTCTTATTGTATTATTACAGTCAAGATTTGTACTTGAAATACCAACTTCATTTGTGCTTAAGTCATTGGGAAAGAAATGAAAAGATTATAAACATAGTTTGAAGAATAAGTATTTTGATCGAAATACTACTGTAGAGGCGATCATGGAAAATCTACCTCGTAATATGATTAGGTGGCAATATGAACAACTGGTTAGATTTTGGTTCTCAAGAAAAAGAGAGGTACTAGTTTATCACTTTGTATAGTAGAATAAAATGATGAAAGTGTTTTATGGTTTAAGTTGGTAATATTTGTATTTCTATTATATACGCAATTATTTTTTATGACAGAAAAAAGAACAAATTGCGATTGGTAGTAGAAAGCAATAGAAATATAGCCACACAAGTGGATCAAAAAGTTTTGTAAGAAAGCAAAAAGAAATTGTAAGTTTATGATAATAAACGTATTCTAATGAATGAACTTTTTCAGCCATTAAAAGGTAAATATGCAAATTAACAGTTATTGTTCTGTTTTAATAGTTTTGATAGTTTTAATACATGATATTAAGCTTATTGAAAGTTTTGAACTTAGTTAACATAGATGATATATATGAAAAGTTATTATTTACATATATTTACACCTTTAGTACAGATTTGTTGTGATTGTTGTATTTTAACAGTTTGGATAGCTTCAATACTTAATATTAAACTTGTTCGATTTATTGAACTTGGTTTCTAGGGTTGATATGAGAGAAAAAGTTATCGTTTATATCTATTTAGGATTATTTTTTCATATAAAAGGTAAATATACAAATTAAACTTTTTGATGGCTTTCAACATATTGAATGGCTTCAATCCTTGATATTAAACTGAGAGAAAATAATTGAATTTGGTTTTCATGATCGATATGTGAAAGCCCAAAATGATTTTATTGTTTGCGTATGTTTAAGACTATTGTGTTGTTACGGGGCCAAAATTAAATACATGAGCTTAAAATTATTTGAAATTTTAATACTTGATTGATAGGCTTGATATGCATGAATAAGTTGCGAGTTGATATGTATCATATCAAATAACAATATGTTTTTATATAGGAGATGAAAAGATGGGTAGTACAATTGGAACCGTGGTTGGAAACTTTTTAGTTCGCAATAAACATAACACAAAAAATGGATCTTACATGAATGTCGAAACACAAGAAATTATGATAATTTGTATCATCTATTTTAACAAAAATTAAATATTTACTCTTTTAAACGTATAATCAATTAATCTTTAAACTTGATAGTTGTATATGACAAATTCATAGGAGAAAACAAAAGAGAAAATGGCTATTGAGATTGAAGTAGCATATGATAGTTCTCTTAACATTCAAGAAATAGAAAATTAGATATTCATAGAAGTTGCTGGAAACAAAAGACATGGACAAGTTTGAAGCCTTGGATTGGGTCCTACACCATCTGGCTACTATGGACATAGTTCTCCGTAATTTACATTCTCAGCAAGTCAATCTTCATGAGACATTTCAATATTGAGAGGGGAGTTACAAACTGTGCAACAATATTTTCAACAAATGGAAGCAGAAAGATAATAGAAGCGTACCAAAATTGAGGAAAAACGTGCTAGAATGGAGCAAGAACATGCTAAATTTCAGTAGTTGCATGATCGATTCGATTATCTTATGAATTTTGTGCAACAACAATTTTTAGGAAATGATCTTGGTGCTCCACCAACTCAGGTATTATATTTAGTAAATATTTAAATTCTTTAATATATAAAAAGCTTACAATGAAGTGTTAAAAATTATATGGTATTATTCAATCGATTCTTGAGCACGCTAGTGACCAAGGTAAAAAACTTCATTAATTGGCAGCCAGTAAAATATATGCAGTCATTCATTTCATACATTTTAATTTTTTATTTTGTTAATGTATATAAAATATTTAAATGTTATTATACTAATTATAAAATTTTGTATTAATTAGATGTATATTTAAACGTGAATGAAGTTAATATAAATTTCAGTTTTTGAATTTAAGCTCTTTAATGAAAATAAAATTTATTAAAAGAATTTAGAAAAAAGATACATTTTTATATAATAACGGTATTTGCGTTCGTCGTGGGTCAGTAAATGAATAATTTAGTGACGTTTGTAGCATAAAACGTCACTATAAGTAGCGGCGCTCTTACCAGCAAATGTCACTTGTTAAGTGACATTTTTCTCATAAAAACGTCACTAAAGTAACGGCATTTTTCTCATAAAAATGTCACTGAATTAGTGGTGAATAAAGATACCAATGCTGCTAATATAGAGGCATTTTCAGATTCAAACGCCTCTAAAGTAGCAATGTTTTCAGTTACAAATGCCACCAAAGCAACGGTGTTTCTTCTCATAAAAATGCCACTAATTTAGCGGTGTCTCAAAGATAAAAACGCCTCTAAATTGACGGCGTTTCAGATATAAACGCCGTAAATATTAATGCATTTTTTTGAAAATATCGCTATTTATCACGATGCTTGAATAGCCGGCACTCTGCGTGACATTTTTCATAAACACCGCAAATCTTTTTGTGACGCTTATAAACGCCATTAAACGTTAAAAAAAATACCTTTAAAAACCAAAACCCCTGTAGTGATGCATGACTATCTTTTCTATATAAAGTTAGTCTTATACTCCTTCTATCCAATTTTTTTTGTTCAATTTTTCTTTTTAGGATGTCTCAAAATTATATCTTTTTTTTTTTATATTTAAAACTCTTACTTTTTTATTTTTTAAAATTATTTTTTATGATTTTTTTAATTTTTAATATTAAAAATCATGAAACTTTAATTTTAAAAAAATTAATTTTAATAGTAAATACATTAAAGTCAAAGTTTTTTTTTTTTTTTTAAACACAGCAAAAGTAAATATAAGACAAACAAATAGGGATGGAAGGAGTATTAGTTTTGTCTTTCAAGAGCGTGTTTATATAACTTTAAATATTATTGCCAAAATACCTTCAAATTATCTTTACGTGATTATGTATGTTGCTTTATTTTTTATTTTTATAATATTTTTAATTATTATTGTTTTTTAACAGTAGCAATGCAAGGAAAACTATTTATGTTTATTTTCATCATATATTTATCTTATAATTGAAAATTTCGTTAAATAGAGTTATACTAATCAATCTTTATGGTTTTGTTTTTTCAAATTTAAGTCTAACCATTGTAAAAGATTATTCTAAAATTAAGTTAGTACTAATTATTATGCTTTGTTAAAATAATGAATTTTTTTTAATAAAAATTTCAGCCTATATATCTATATACTACTTCCTGGATAATTAAAGTTTGGGTTGTAAATTCATTATAAAATGACGGACCAAATATATAGGACATAAACCCGAATCATAGGGCTTATTGGTTGGGCTCAAATTAACGGCGGCTTACATGCAAATTGGAATTCTTCCGTGATGAATTAGGAAACCGACCTAATTCAACAAGTTTATATAAAACGTACGTAACCTTATACCACCATCGATTAACTAGTCGTTTAAGTTCAGAGAAGAAGAAAGAAAAGTATAGAATGGAGATGAAAGGAGTGAAGCTTAAGGTCCTTGGGAGGGGAGCATATGGTGTGGTACATTTGGTGGAAACGACTTCTCCTTGTTCTGGGTTGTTTGCTGTAAAATCTGCACCTTTAACAAAGTCTTTTTCTCTTTCCAAGGAATGGGAAATATTTAAAAAGTTTATAGGTTGTCCAAATATTGTTCAATGTTTTGGTGGTTTCACGAGTTTTGAACGAGATGGAGGGTATTTTTATAACTTATTTCTTGAATATGCACCTGGCGGTAGTCTCTTGGATTTGATGAACAAGTATGGGGGCAAAATACCCGAATGTGATGTGAAGGATTATGCAAGAATGATTCTTGAAGGGCTTGTTGACATTCACAACAGAGGATACATCCATTCTGATCTTAAACCAGAAAATATTTTGGTTTTTCCATCTCAGACCGGTTCCGATTTGAATACTTTAAAGATTGCGGATTTCGGGTTAGCTAGACAATGTGGGGAAAAAGATATTCCACAACTTTGGGAATATGGTTTTCGAGGTACAGCAGATTATATGTCACCTGAATCTGTGATAGGAGAAATCAGTGGTGCATTGGATGTATGGTCACTCGGTTGCATTATTGTTGAGATGATTAGTGGGAAAATGCCATGGAACTATAGCAACCTGAAAGATTTGAGAAACAAGCTTTTGAATGGAGAATCACCCAAAATCCCAGAAAACATGTCAAGTATTGGGAAGGATTTCTTAGCAAAGTGTTTTGCTAGGGATCCCAAGCAACGATGGATGGCTAATATGCTGTTAAGCCACTCTTTTCTTATGCCAGAGTTCAGCTTTTTTTTCGTATGGAAGCAATCTCCCACAACTCTTCTCAGCCCTTTCTTCAACAATTTTTGACGAGGACAAATCGTTAATCCAATCCACAAAGAGTTTCCAAAAGGATGACAAATTCGGACCAGAAGGAGATTTGGTTGAAAACTTAAGGTTGCAAGTAATGAAGATGGGCGTCTAGGAATATGGTGCAAATTGAAGAATTCAAAGGCATAATCAACATGCAGATAAAACCTGAAAAAGCCACCCTCTTCCTCTTGGTTATGTTGCAACCAACATGTTATCAAAGTAGACCTGATGTTTGCTTTTAGGCTTTGTCTTGGATTAATATTTTCAAACTTTTTATTATTGTATTATATTCTTTTAACAGTTTAAGCTTATAAATGTTCTTGACATATAGTTTATATTTTCTATATGTCCATGGCCAACCACTTTCATTAACTTTTATTTATTGTTAACTACTTTTTCTATCAAATTGAGTAATTAACGGCCTAATGGGCAGCGGTACTGCATGTTAAACCTTTTGTTCAAAAATCTTTTTTTATTAGTAATATATAAGTAAATAAATGTATATAATTTTTATTTAATTTTAATTATAAAAATATATTTTAAAATATTAGTAATTAATACCTTAATAATAAACATAAAATAAACTGATTTGGATGAGCCAAGCTCAAGTCCAATTACACCAAGTTTTTAAGGTGTTAATTGAATCACTCGAGCTATGAAAAGTTTTAGTTAAATGTTAATTTCTTAATTTAATCAAACAAATAAAATATATAGTATATGGAAATTTGATATTTAGAAATCTTTCAATCACCGTACCATGCATACTTGCATAGACCATGAACCTAATTAATCGATGATATGTTCCAATGTTTCATATGCTTTACGTACGCACATTTGATGGTTATAAAAGATTTTTTATTGGCCAGTGATGGATATAAAAAATAAATCAAGTTTTTTATGAAATAAAAATCTGTAACATTTTTATATTTATAATTACAATTAAATTCTCTAGGCATTTGTTATGGTAATCCTCATTCGAGATTCTTTTTCATCTTTGACCGAAATTGTTTTCTTTTTATCTGAAGGTAATAAAGTTGGCTGAGGGTCTGATAAATTTCACCAATTCGATCTTTCTTCCTAAGCTAGCACATAATAGAATATGCTGTAATATTAGAAAAAGGGGAGGGTGATTTTTTTTTTTCCTGCTGAAGCTTAAAAAAAATAAGCTCTTACTCTTTTCAATGGAGTCACTTTAGTTCGTTGCTCTCCTCACTCGCTACCTCAAGCAACTAGTGTGCAAAGATCAGTTTAAGATGGTTTGAATTTTTTTTTTTTTGTTGGGTTCTCTAATTTTATGAATTTTTTTTATTGTACTTAATTTGGATTTGAATGGATTTTCTACTAGACCCAATGTTGCAAAAAGATGAAAAACCATCGGTGTTTGTTACTGAACGTAGCCGAGTAGTCCTAGTAATTCTCTTCCCGCGGAGGAAAAAAAAAAGGAAAAAGAAAAAGGAGAGCTTAGTCAATTGACAGGCCGCAGTCGCTTTATATCAAATTAATAACCACTCTTGGGATCAGATAAATCTTTTTAAATTTTAAATTTATTCAACTAATGCTTCTATAATTTATTTATATTTGTGTATGTCATAATTTATAAGCCTATAAATTTATTATTAAACATAATTTTAAAAGTCACCATTAATATTTTTTATTTAGGCATTATTGGTTTCTTAATTGAATTTATTCATTTTAAAAACAAATCCTAAGCTTGACTCATTTTTTAAAAAAGAAAAGATTTTAATTAATAAAACCAAAATTGAGTTTGAAAGTACAATTACATGTAGGATAGGTATATTTCGTATTATCCAAAATTAGCCACTTACAACGCCCTTCTAAAAGTAGTATCAGTTGATTTTGTATTATCTAAAACTTAAAAATCTTACTAGATAATCAATTAGTGGATATTATTCTCAAATTATTCCAATATATTGATAATAATTTTAAAACATTTCCTCACCTTGAGAATATTCAAGAAGACTATTTGTCATGTTTGAAAGGACTCCATCTTCAAATTCATTAATATATTATAAAAAACTTTTATTTATGACAAGTGAGATTTCTGTGAATCTTAATATTAAAAATCTTTTCAAAATTCTTTCATATATTGATAAAATTTAAAAAGAATTTCTTACCTATGAATTTACATAACAATTGTTATTTGCAACGTTCTTTGTAATTCTATCATTGGAAATTCAAAATCAATTTTTATAAAATAAATCACTCATTTAATTATTTATTTTTATAAATATTTTTTAATATATTGGTAAGATTTTTTGTCAAAAAGTTTCCTACAATATAGTGGGTAGGATTCATGAAAATTATATTTTTTCTTTGAACCATATGTTTTTTAAAATTAATAAATTTTTTAATATGTTGGTAAAATCTTATTTTTAAATTTCTTTTTTCAAAATCATAAACTCTTAAATATGTTGGTAAGGCTTTTACCTCTTAAAATTTATTACTAAAATTTTAACCTTCCAATATGTCAATATTGTTTTACTTACCAAAATCAATGTTTTAAAATTTTAACCTTTTAATATCTTAATACTATTTTATTTTTCCTTAAAAATTATATTTTTAAAAAAAATTATCCCTTTTTTTAAAAGACATGTTTTGTTAAAATAGGATAAATATCTAAATAAAATAAATAAATAAATTTGAAAAAAATGAAAAAAAAAAACATATATAAAAGATATTTAAAACTTTGACTCGACTATGAAAAGCGGCTTTGCTCGACTCTAGAGGCGTAATATGGCTTGGCAACTTGGAACGACAACTCAACTTAATAGTAGCTACTAGGAAACGGGTTTCGCAGGTCAAGTCACATTACAGGTTAGGTCAACACGCCAAGTTGCACATGGGTTGACAGCAAATTAATTCCTCAAAATGAAGTTATATTGACTAAGTATAAAAAGCAATAATTTTTTTTCTTTCAGATTTTCTTTTCCCTCTCTTTCTAGATTTGTTCTATCCAACTTCTCTATGGCATTTAGAAAAATACAAGAATATCGATGCTAGAATCTACAATCTCTTGCTAAAAATTGGGAAATCTCGTAAAAAAAAACTTGTTGAAAAATTAAACTCTGCCTAAAAACTCATTGGAAAATTCAACATTTGTTAGAAAACTCATCAAAAAATTTAACCTCCACTAAAAAATTATGCCAAAAAATTGGGTTTTTCATTGGAAATTTCAAAATTTTCAAAAAAAAAATCCAAAAACTTGTAGACACTCCTTATTTGAGCAATTTTAACCACCTAAGATATTTGTCCTCATATCTTTCCCTCATATTAAACCAACACAAACTCTAATGTGCTAATCTAAAAATTGAAACATTTCTATTCAAGCTTGAATTGCCACTAGTTTTTCTTATTTCTACTATCATGCTTGTGCATTTGTTGTTTATTCTTGCTAAGTATTTATAAAGGAAAATAACAAGAACTTTTGATCATCTAGGATTCAATTTTTAAAATTTTGCATTGTCACAAAAAAAAAAAAAAACTACAATTTATCTTTAAGAATCCCAACTCAAATCCAACTTTGGTATAGCATGAATTATCACCCAAATAAATAAAAGTTCCTTCTATTTCTGTTAGTCTCATCATTGAACCTCTTCTTTTAATTCCTAATTATTTTTTATGGATAATCAAATAATTAAAGATAAAGAATAGGATAAATAAAATAAAAGATAAATAAAGATAAATAGGCAAATAAATAATAGGAGAAATTGAGGTAAAAAATAATAATAGTAAAGATATATACAAAAATAATAATAAATACAAAAGATTAAATAAAGAAATGGATAAACTAAAAATAAATATCCAAAATTTGACAATTGAGCTTAAAGCTAATCTAAGCCCAATCTATTTGGTTTTGAGACAAAATGAAGTGTCTATGTTGTGAAATACTACATGGTTTAAGTGTAAGTTGTTTAATGCAAAATTTGCCATAATAATTTTGGGGACCACTAAACGAATATTTAAAAATTTTCAAAACAGGGACAATCATAACTAATCTTTCTTTACTAAGTGTGATTGGCAATCCAAAAAAAATTTTCTTCCTAATAAAATTTTAAAATTAATTAAACTTATTAAAAAGATAATTTTTTGTTTTATTTGTGAAAACAAACTTTAATTCAAAAGTTCAGTTACCCATGGGGAAAAATTAACAACCCTACAGCTTCCGTTAAAAAATGATACCAATTAGTCACATGTTATCCTTTAATATTGATAAAAATTATCTTAATCTTAATATTTAAAATAATTCCCTTAATTTCATCTATTTTTGTAAATATTCTTTTTTCTTTTTTAAAAAAACATTTTATTTAGGAATACAACGAAAATCTTTAGCTTTGAAACATTTCCTAAATTCCCTAATATTTAGGTAAAATTTAAAAAATATTTCTCAACTTAAAACCACCATAATAATTCTCAAAATATGGCATAATATTCTTTTATAAAGAATAATTATGGAAAAGCCCTCCAATATCTAGGTAGGGTCCCAAAAAATATTTTTTTACTTGGGACTATTCATTTTTATTTCTAAAAAAATAATTTTCAAAATCACCATTTATTACCATATATTTCTTTGGATAATAACTAAATGCAAGTAATGTAGTACATGCAAATAAGTGATGCAAACATAAAATACAAATTTAAAGATGCAATGATCAACTGAATTTATCCTATAACCCTTTAATTTTATCCCTTTTATTTCCTCATCTTTATTCATTTGTTTTGAAGAACATTTAGTGGTAGAAGAAATTTTATTTGTATTATTTTATGTTAGATAATTTTCTCTGATTTTCCAATATCTAAGCGAAATTTAAGAAAATCAATTCTTCATTTAAGAAATTTTTATAATTAATTTTTGAATTTAACCCTTTTAAAAATAAATCCTAAGCTTGACTCATTTTTTAAAAAACAATAGATTCTAATCAACGAAACTAAAATTGAGTTTGAAAGTATGGTTACATAGAGAATATGTATATTTCATATTATCTAAAATTGGCCTCTTACAATGCCCTTCCAAAAGTAGTACCAGTTAATTTTATATTATCTAAAACTTTAAAATCTTACTAGATAATCAATTAGTGGATATTATCCTCAAATTACTCCAATACATT